CTGATATATTTCGCAAAATACTTTTCTTTGTATTTTATATTTGTTTGGTATTGTATTTTATACGGACGACGTTGCTGCCACATTTTGTGACTCAATTGTGGCTGAAGATTAGGTGAAATAAAAAGGTCTCTTCTCCCTCAAACTTTATTGTTTCCATAAGTTCGGTTGTGACTCGATTGTGGCTCCACGATAGGCGTAACAAAAATATATCTCCGCCTCGAAATCTATTTTTGTCGTTGCCATTTGGTCAGTGAACTGGAAGCGGATATGTCATTCGCTGCTAGAAATTTGGTTAAAGTGTGTGTTTCCATGAGCTTACCTAGCGTAATGGCGTCAACAAGTAGTGGTGGTAATGAGGAAGAGAGCCGCGACAGCACAACCAGTACTACACAATCATGTTTACCCTTGTCAAGAACGAATTACGAAAACTGTCATCATTCAAATGGGAGTCTGGCACTTTACTTGGTTCGTTTCAATCGAGTCATACATTACTATACTGTTAAAACGTTCTACTTGAAGTACTGTGAAATATGGCTTCCATAATCATTACACTTAGCCCATTTAAGTTTCGCTGTGCGGGGTCGTGTCGGTATAGCCTTTGGAAACTTTCAAACCCGGTGTTGTTTGTGGTTCGTTGAGACTACGTGTGGCTGATTGTAGCCGATTGCCCAACACTGTCAAAATTTCTGGAAATAAAATTAGAGTTCTATTTTAAAAATTTTCTGAATGTGACCAGTTCAGCCACAATATTGGTTGTTTTATGCATTTACATATGGTTTCAATTATGACAGTAGTCGCGCCTATTTTATACACGGTTTTATCTGACTTCCCAAATACCCATCTGAAGCAGTATATCTGACAAATTGCCGCCGGAAGAATTTGTAGCAAGTTTTGATCTTGGTTTAGATAATCAAGAAGCTGAGGAAACGGCCAACTACTTGGATGACATTCACATTCTTCAAAGCATTGTGAAGTAAGGAAACCTGGACAAATCTTCCAACATTAGCGGTCGTTTTTGTGTACTAAAACAGCGAAGACAACGAACGGCAAAGGCACCCAGGTAACGTACATCAATGTCAATCTGTCCTCTCACCTAAAGACAGTCAGAGAGAGGATGAATCGAGCGAATCCAGCTCTGCAAAAAGCGCCCGTGTTTCGTCTTACTCTGTGGGACCCGAATGCAAACGTTGCGGGACCAATTCTTCGTGTTCATCCAGGATGTATCTACAAATTTCGGGAAATTCACTCTGTGGAGGATTCCTAAGGATAGATTAAAGGCAGTATCCAGCTCACTGGTCATGTGGACGATTCGCTCGTTAAGCAAGTGTCAAAACGCACAGGACGACGAAGAAAAAATCAACGAAGACTTGGATTTATAGCGGAATGGCTACGGAAGAAAGCATGGTTCCACGTGAATGATCCGTTATTTTCTAAGTTTTACATTGTAAATGAGTTGTAATGAACATAATGCTACTATAGCAGATGAAACAAACCAAAATACATTGTAAGGCTTCAGATCTATTTGGAATCATGTCTAGTGCTATAAAATGTTTGTGTAAGATGCTTCTATACATGGTGAGCTTGGGATATCCATACTGATTGCTTGACATTATTGTATTTGCTGTGACCAGTGCACATCACACAGAAAAATGACAAAGGTCCAAACCACCTTGTATTGTTTCTTTGATAGAGCCGTCCATACCCCAATCGTAGCGTGCAATGGCACAGTGATTCGGTATGTTTACAATTTCATTTGAAAAGTTAATTTCAAAGGACGTAATACATGTAGATTTGTAATCGAAGAACGGTTGTCCAAGCTTTCTCAGAGTACGAAGAAATATCTACTAACACTTACGTTTGTCGAAGTCGGGAGCACGCTGAAGAGGTTGATTAGTCCTGATGAGGACCCGGTGGTCATGACTAACGTTTTAAGTTGCATATAAGACACTTTCGCTTTGCAGTTGCCGAGCAAGCCTGAATGAAATGTCAACTTGCACAACGATATGCGAGAACAAAGCGGTACGGTAAAGGATGTTTTGGATATAACTGTATGTTAGAGTAACATTGACTTGGTGTGGATTAAGGTGCAAATTGAGTGTTTGCAAGACCATTGTGTAAATGTACAACAATGCAGTAATCAGCAATTGCAACGTCGGGTGTTCCCGGATCTTTACCTTAAGGGCATGGGGGACAAGGACATTGCTCTAATGGTAGGTGAAATTATCCCGCCAAAGCGATGTATATGTGAATACACGGGCGAAGTCATAACAATGGAGCAGTATAAGAAAATATCATGAGTACGTCCCAATTCATGGTGGACATGTTTGAATTGATTGCGATACAAATGTATTTGATGCTTTTGTATAAGGGTCCCGCTCGAATTCACATATATATGGAGTGCTACTGAATATTGGAGAAGTGATTGATGCAACGTACAAAGGCGGTATTGGGTATTTCGCCAACCAAAGTTGCTCACCGAACACAGTCGTGGAGCGATCGGAGGTGGATGGAAACGATTGCTGTGGAATTTATGCGTTTCACTCGATCGCAAAAGACAGCAAGGTTACGTTCGACTATAGAGCTGAAAACCGCGTGGGTCATGTACGTTCACCCCAAAATCCAACTCGCTTACAGCTTACATAATGTTTTTCAAATAACGCAAGCTCTGTTATTGTAAGACGTCGAAGTGCAGAGGATTCGTCGCAATGTAGGGTCTCTGCCAAAACAAAATATTTCAACGTTTTCTCCGATCGCTTGTTTGCGCTTCTGACTTTGTTATGTATCCTTCGAAATATATAATATTTGCCATTATACGTAGACACGCATCCTCAGTCGTGCCTTTTCTTCCGATTTTCAATCCTCAAGAGATTGACATTTTCCCACTTGACAGCGATACCGCATACAGCGAGTGAACGGACATTAAAACAAGCAAAATGCGATCTGAGGTATTTGGAACGCCGATTCTCAAATACACGGCGCGTACTCATATGAGTACCAACGCGACTAAGAAACGAAAGCAAAAAAACAGACGATACTGTAGTGCGCGGGACTACTGCTCGGAGAGATCGGAATTCATTCTCCCGAGGTCGTAATATTGCTGCTCAACGCCTTCCTCCATCACGAAAGCGAACATGCCGGGTTAATTTAAGCAGCAGTAACTCGAATTCCGGCGTAGACGATGACATTAAAGGTATCATATTGGTATCCTCAATCATTGTTCTCACAACTCTCCTAACCGCAGCTACAATGCAGATTTTTTCCAGTCATTGATAGTTCATTCCTTCGAGTATGTGGTAGTTGTAGTGAATTGGCCAGTTCTGATCACATTACGATAAAGCGTTTCAACCCAGATAGCATTTTAGGCCGCTTTGCAACAATTCTGATGTATGTGAAGTGTTTCAAGAGGGACTTGTAAACGCGCTGAATGACGAAATCATGATTTGGCTTTGTCGTCGATGTAATGACGCGTAGTTAAAGCGCAACATTCCGCGATACAGCCGAGCTTCGGTGTTCCGGATTGGAGATGTGCCCAACGCGCTATCAGACTAAAATCCTACCGAGGTACGGTTAATTGGATATGGAGTTGTCTACACGACATGTTATTCGTTCAACCGTCACGGTCAACAGTTTAGAAGGGGCAACTCAGTCACTTACTAGAACGATCCTGGTAAAATTACTCGTGTATTGCCAAGACCGCTTACCGCATCTGGAATTGTATATCTTCAATCACAACTAAGACGTGGAAATCAATATTTCAGTGTACACCCCAAGTATATTCGGAGCGTTAGAGTAGCTGATTTCTAACAATCCCCTTTACGAAAGGTAAGCATATCTGAAGCAAATCTACAGATGCTTCAAAATTCATCCAGCATTGCCCCCACTCATCCAATTACTGAAAAAGAAGCTCGCGAGTTAGCAACAACGGAAGATCATCCAACTAGTGCTCCTGACGATGCGATCACTACACAGCCTAATGATACCGATCATGGTATCCATATGGCTGACAATATTTACCAACACAAGGAAAGGAACCTATATGAACCTATATCCAATTTGCTGAGCATAATGATCTAAACCAAAATACCAATTCTAACGAGTGTTCAATGTTTCGTATTGAAGAAAACATTGAAATTCAAGTGAAACAATTAGACACAAGAACAGAAACAGAAGACTTGTAGATGCTGTTAACGAAGTAGCAGACCACTATGTATATCCTATAGCTGATCCGCCACCTTACCGTGAACTTATGAACGAGTACACCACGAAACTACCCTTTCCGAATTGTTTGCCATCTTATTTCCTGTTGGTATGTGTAACGGGGTTACACAACTCTAACCGTAACGTTAACCGGTTTGGGTTAGAGGTTTCCTGTCTTGGTGTGTGAACACAGCAAGACTGCATTTGAAGAGATCCTATTGGTAGAGTGCACCACACCTCTATCAATCAACGATGCGGATCACTGCCAGCCACTCGCTGACAGTCCCATTGATATTAGATAATCTGTTTAGGAAGGAAACACTTTAAAGAACAATAACAGTCGATGCGTGTGTACACTATAGAACCTAGGAAAACCTACGCTTCCTCCTACACGTGCGCACACGTGTAAGCTAACTAGTGAGCCCTAGGCCCACTACACCTGGTAGCACTTTGTAGTCCATCCAACGACCGACTACCTTGTTCGTATGAGTTACGAACACGGGCAAGAGAACCTTCCGATGGACGACCCGTCCATCGGAAACCCGAGCACGTCTGCAACGTAGGTGGCGCGCTCAGACTGCCCCCACCTGACGGACCCAGAGTGCGAGGCGCTCCAACGACTGTCAACAGTCATTGGAGAGGCGGCCGTAGCGACAATCCTACACACGCTATCGCCGACAGAGCCACATGGCATTGTTCTGGGATTCATCATGAGAGAGCAACGCGAGGTTGCTTCTACAAAGCCGGTGTCTCCCCCGGAGACACCGCAGAAAGAACACCTGAAGTTACGTGTCAGTAACTAGATGGGCAGAGAAGGTGATACCCTTCTCCGCTGGCTGGTCAAACTCGACACTGCCGTGATGGCTCGACGGCTCGTCGACCCATTGGCGAAAGTCGCCTTCTCCATGTCTTGTCTTGGCGGACGTGTGAGGGGTTACGGGCGCCGACTCACTGATCCTACGTGCTTCAGCACGTACGAGTCCTTCAAGGAAGAGCTCAAACTCGCGTTTGATCCCCCGCAGAACGAGTTCCGGTCAAAGGTGGAGTTTCTCGACCTGAAACAGGGTAAGCATGACGTGCATGCTTACGCCCAACGGGCTCGGTACTTGGTCTCAAACGTCGTGACCGACCCGATGGACGAGGCGACCAAGGTCGTAATGCATAAGGAGTTTAACCTGAAACAGGCTAAATTCCACACGAACGTGCCACGGCCACCTCGACCGGCTGCTAAGACAGAAGGTCCAGAACCAATGGATCTTTCGTATGCATCTGCTGTTGGACAGCAGAAGAGCAAGGGAAGCAACGTGCGATGCTTCCGGTGCGGAAACATGGGT